GGTTGCGCCGGAACCGGACAAATCGCACTCTCGCCTGCATTTCGCGCGCTCGACACGCACGATCTTGCGCGGACCGGACAAATCGCACTCTCGCCTGCATTTCGCGCACTCCCACGCACGATCTCCGCAGAGGGTTGCGTTCTAAGTTGACGCTGTTCGTCCCACCCTCCGCCTTTAAGGAGAATTTAGAAAGTGGGGGAATGTTTTTCATTAGGATATCTCCCGTGAAAGTTTTTCATGCTTACACTTGCAGGCCGACACTAGGATACTTACACTTGCATACTTGCACTTGGATGCTTTCATGCTTACACTTACACTTGCATACTTCACTTGCAAACTTTCACTTGGATACTTCAGTGATTGTAAGTATAGAAGTGTAAATGTTCAAGTGTAAGTGCAAGTGTTCAAGAGATTTTCCGGAAGAACCCCTTCGCAATGCTTTCGGGAAAAAGGGAGACCCCCTTCTGGACTGGGCAGTAGGAAAACCCGATGCGCAAAGGCCCGGTATCGCTGTTGGGTTTCAGGGCGGGCAAACGACACCATCTATTTCTGCCCGCAACAGCGGTCGGAAAGGGTGCCAGAGGGCACCGACCACTGTCCAACGTCGCTTTTGGAACCCTATAGACAAAGAGGCGCGGGACCGCATCATAGCAGCCTAGGTGACGGCCACAGACCTTTCCCACGTGATGGCCACTCAGGCCATAGTAGCCATAGTAGCAGCCCGGGTGATGGCCACAGACCTGTCTGCTGCTGTAAAAGGCTCAAAAAGTGCTGGTCACGGCCACAAGCTGATCCAGCTGCCCCGCACAAAGCGCTGGTGTCGCTGCGCAAGGTTTCAGACCAGGCAAGCGACACCATGCCATGAAGAGCTGCAGTCCCTTGCTCGCGCCACGCAAGGCCCAATGCCGGGCAAACGACAGCCCGTAGCAGCAGCGCGGCTGTAGGCGCAATGTTGCTGTACAGCGGGCGGAAAGGATGCCGCAAGGCAGCGGCCACTGTCTAACGTCCCTTATGGAACCCTATAGAAAAATAGGTGTGGGGCCGCGTCGTAGCAGGGGAGACAAGGCGGACACAGCAACGAGAAGGGAAAGAGCAGAATTGAGAACGCCTAGCAGTAAACTGTCTTGGGAATGAATAGAAATGTTGCATCGCCGGCGGAAAAGGGCGGACACCAGCAGCACAGACCTGGGAGACAAATGAATAGAAATTCTAAATGGCCAGCGGAAAAGGGCGGGCGCCAGCAGTGACAGACCTGGGAGACAAATGAACAGAAACGCTGTGACGGACCTGGGAGATAAATGTTGCAACGCCAGTGGAAAAGGGCGGACCAGCGGGGGGCAAATGAACAGAAATGCTAGATGGCCAGCGGAAAAGGGCGGACACGCGGAGAAGGGAGAGAGGGGAGAGAGAGAAGAGAAGAGAGAGAGAGAGAGAGAAGAGAGGAGAGAGAGAGAGAGAGAACATAAAGAGAAAACAAAGAGAGAGAGAGAGAGAGAGAGAGCAGTGACAGACCTGGGAGACAAATGAATAGAAATGCTACATGGCCAGCGGAAAAGGGCGGACACCAGCAGTGACAGACCTGGGAGACGAATGAATAGAAATGCAAACAAATGAGTAGAAATTCTACATGGTGAGCGGAAAAGGGCGGACACCAGCAATCCCAGACCTGAGAGACAAATGAGTAGAAGTGTTGCATGGCCAGCGGAGAAGGCCGGACAGCAGCAGTGACAGACCTGGGAGACAAATCAATAGAAATGCTACATGGCCAGCAGAGAAGGGCGGATGACAGACCTGGGAGACAAACGAATAGAAATGCTACATGGCTAGCAGAGAAGGGCGGACACCAGCAGTGACAGACCTGGGAGACACATGAATAGACATGCTACATGGCACCAGCAACGTGACACTCCCAGACAAGGCCATAGTAGCTGTAGTAGCAGCCACAGACCTGTCCTGCTGCTGTAAAAGGCTCAAGAAGGGCTGGTCACAGCCGCAAGCCGATCCAGCTGCCCCGCACAAAGGCCTGGTGTCGCTGCGGAGCGTTTCAGGGCGGGCAAACGACACCATCTATTTCTGCCCGCAACAGCGGTCGGAAAGAGTTCCCAGAGGGAGCGGCCAGGGTGTCTAACGTCGCTTTTGGAACCCATTGAAAAAGAGGTGCGGGATCGCATCGTAGCAGCCTAGGTGATGGCCACAGACCTGTCCCACGTGATGGCCACTCACTCCCATAGCTGCCCGCGCAAAGGGCTGGTGTCGCTGCGCAGGGTTTCGTAGGAGCAGCCGAGGTGATGGCCACAGACAAGTCTTGGAGCAACTGGCCGAAAGCAAGTTGAGCCACCGTTTCACACTGCAGTGTCCCAGACGCCGCCCCGCCTAGGCGTCAGCTAGGCAGGGGTCGGCAGATTTCAGCTTCAAGGGTTCGCCTGGCGCTACAGTCTTGTTTTTATTCACTTGCGGCTGTCAGAGACCATCTCAGACCATCTCAGATCCATTTTCCAAGGCAAAGTGGGCCGTGGAAAGCTCGCGTGGCCGAAACTTTGCGATAGCATGGCCAAGGAGGAGGCGCGACGAGACTCGGGCTTGGGCGCCTCGCAGACGGCAGAAGTGGCATATTTGGAGAAGATGGGTTTCTCGGATTTTTTCAGAATGATAGCCTTTTTCTTGCCAGTTAAGTTGTTGTCCGCAGCTTTTCGTGCACCTGAACGCCGCCACCAACAAGTCTTCGGAAACTGTCTAAATGTTTAAAAAGATCTGGCAGATTTGACAGCTAGTTTTTGTTTTTTTCCCAAGGTGCTGGGGGTGCTGGGTTGGTTGGTTAAGCATTTTTGAGGCTTGGAGTATGAAGAGCATGACATCACGGAATTTGAAGCATTTCTTCAAAAGTGTCTCGGTGCGGGCAGTTTCTGTGGAGGAGCGGTCATTTGAATGGGATGTTTTCTGCCAGGATGGTTGGAGGTTCGTCATATTGGCAGTGGTGTCAGAAGCAGGGAACCGCGCGTTTTTTCTTGCCAAAGAAGGAACAGAATAGATTACCAGGTCAGCTGCAACATGGGGGAGTCTGCCCCTGCGGTTTGTGGAAATTCATGGACATCCAGCCCTCGCGTTCGCCCAAAGTCTGTAGTTGGGTCAGTTGGGTCATGTGTTTCTGTTGGGAGCTGAGTTGGTGGGGTGACCGCGCTTCGCGCCGAACTCCCACCCACACGCCCGCACGCTCACACGCTCCATCTCGTGTGCCGCTCCATCTCCTCGACGATGGTCGGTGTTGCTTGGTTTGGCGACCGTGCCACACGCGCCAAGGCCGCAGCTCTGCAGTTCCGAACTTCAAGTGTAGACGGCTTTTTCTCGGCGCCTGCTGAGAGCAGGAAGGCCCAAACGTTTGTTTCAATTGTGGAACTGGAACACTGAACACTGGACCCTTGCATGAAAATGACCGACTTGGTGTTGTTTGGGATAGAAGTTGTTGGAGTGGTGAAAAAACGCGGGTGTGCTTTTGAGCATTGGATGCCATTCCACGAAAGTTGTCTTTAAGGATTGTTTAGGTTGAGGTGATGTGATTGGTTCTTGCTTGACTTGGAGGTGTGTACAAGACTCTGGAGCACCAGAACCCTCATATTTGGCTGATTGAAAACGATGATGGGCTCACACACTTAAAACTTTTGTTTGGATCTCACTACCAAACAGTGAGTGAAGTGAATGTCGCAGCCGCCCACAGGTCAAGATCCAACTCTGCGAGCAAGAGGAAGAACTCCACCCACGATACCAACTGAAGTCCCCGGAACTCCTCTTCTTCGCCCCCCTTTTTGGGAGGAGGTCATGGTCAAAACCTTGGCTCTCTGCAAGGATCTGCTTGTGTCATGAATCAAAGTTGGTGGGTTAAAGGAAATTAGACGCCCTGAGGGCCCGAAAGTTTAAGCAAAGCGTGGAACAAGAATACAGTTCCTTTTTTCTGAGCAAACAGAGCTGTGTTGGCCGCTCATTTCCTTTGTGACATCGCCAAGCAACCCAGCGCGCGCAAAAATTCGCACCTCACGTTTCGGCACTGAACACGCCGGATCCTGAGAGAGGGTTTCGCCAGTGCCGGCAAGATCCGACGCCGAGCAAACCGCGTGGCACAGCGACAGCAAAATAGAATACCCTCCACGTGGTGTGCCACACACTATACATACAATAACCATGTCGCACCCAGCCTCATATACACCGCCACTCCACCGGCTCCCCAGCGACACGCCGCGTTGGGGCACTCGACAGGCCGGATCCTGCGAGAGGGTTGCTTCTCGCGATCTCTCGCTTGGTCCGCCCCGGCTTTAAAGATAATAAAGATTCGAGATGTCGAGACAAAAACTTGGCCAAGTCTCTTGCAAGTGCTAAAGCTTGGCCAAGTCTCTTGCTAGTGCTCAAACTTGGTCAAG